CGGAACCAAATTTGCTTCAACCCTTCATTTCGTTGAATAATTTAGCAATTCCTCGAATTTCAAGTCAGTAAAACAAAAAATTCGTGAATAAATACATCCTCTCTTCCGGTGAACATCCTTTTCTCGGTTCAACAAGTAATTCGTAAAAAATTAATTTAGCAACTTTCCTTAATTAACCCAAGGTTGAAATCGAAAAAGTTGAAAATTACAGTTGGGTATATTCTGTAGCAGCAAAGTTCAAATTATGTAAATTCTGTTCCAGAACGGTTCGAAAAAGTTATTGCCTTGTTCGGCTAATATTTCGGGGGTTTTGGCCCGCACCCCCTCGTGTGGTATGTGTAGGTTAATCGCTGATACGTCACTGAGAGCATTATAAGCAATCTTCATAGTAATTTTACGGGTCGTTAAAGAGGAGCAGTTGCGAAAGACTTTGCTTTTTGAATGGAGCATTACAACAGTCAAACTAATGTACCGTTTCCTATTCAAGTTCAAATAGTCGATATCGTAATCGAAATGCGGTTTAACGCAACGCAAGAGCTTCGACGGTTGTAAACGCAACAAACGGCCCCGATGAGATATCATTAGCGAACGAGAAGGAATTCGGATCGGATGTAATTATTCCTTCAACTTATAATTGGAAAGCTCGCAAACTAACTCTGACGATTTTCGGCCATTAAGGAGCTGGTCGGTTTCCAGTAGTGAGGTCCTGCTCAACAGTTAACCTGGCAATTAGATCGAGAATTTCACTTTTCCATCCAATAGAGTGCTGAAAGCACGTTCAATTGCAGGAGGTCTTTCAGGGAAAAAATGTCAAAGTCATTCCGACGATTGTTACGACAGAAAAAAACATTTCGTAACTTTTTCGGTTAACAGTTTTTATTTTCATTGTTACCGTTCCAATTTATCTATGCCAAGAAGTACAACAAAAGACAAGGCTACAGATATACACCAATGTGTTCATACACGATTTGGAAAGTGTGAATTAAAAAATATTCAAGAAATTTGTTTGCCTTGTTAAGATATTCAAAAAAAGGATAAAATGTTGATATTAATTAAAAATCTGTTATAATTTATGGCTGCCTCATTAAGTCAATTTCATGTTTATATAAAATTCAACAAAATGTAAATATGTTTTTCAAGCAGAACACGTTAACTTTCAGCAAATATTTTCCCTATGAATCTCCTGAAAATTCAACAAAGCACTCCTCACCATTGGTACATTTGTAGCATGTCAAATGTGTCAGCCACAATTTGAAATATCGGCTTTTTATCAAAGCAACGCAGTCATAAAATTATTTGACGTTTTATTTTTCTCTAACCTTGGCGTGTACGAGAGTAACATCGCAATTAATTAATCAAAACTACGTATAACTGAGCGGATCGGATTATTAGTAGTTACAGATACTATAAATAAAAAATGAAGACATTTAAATGAAATATTCATGCAAGTTCTTTATCCGCAATCATCGAGAACAAAAGATCGATCATAAAGTTTTTTGTGGACTTTCTAACTAGTGCCCTTGCTTAATTTTTAAATAATTAATTTCAGTAAAATTCAATTTACATTTAAATAATTTACTTTAAATTAAAACAAAGCTAAAACGTGATTTTTGACAGAAAAAAATTTAATGTATCTGGATTGCATGTCCGGATATCGATCTCTATTTAGTGAGGTTTAGTATTCACTAAAACGAAAGACAGGCAGGGCAAGGTAATGATCTATGACTTTAAAATGACTCTTCGAGTAGATAATAAAAAAAGAAAATAAAAAATATATATATAAAAATATATATAATAAAAAAAAATGTTTAAATTTCCAATTTTTGTCTGAGATTTTCGATTTGAATTTTGGTAATAAATTAAAATATAAAATTATTACAGTTTTAGTGTCCTTTTAAACAGTGCAAATTATCATTTCAGTTCCTAACAGAAATAATATTTTGATAATTAGTAACAAATCCCACATTCCTGCCAGCGATTGAAACTCGAAGTAAACATATAAATTAATTTATGGTAAGGCCACGCCACGGTATAACTTTTTACACGCGCGCATACCTGCTTTATTAAGTAATTTCTCCGGAAAGATCCTCAACTTCCAGCATACTACATTAATTTTTTCTGTCAACGCGAAACTTCCGCCTCTTAATTCGATAAATTCGCAAATTTATGAGATTCATAAAAGTTTACGTCTGTTTTATATCGACGGAAGCTGTGTATAATCGAGGATGATTTGACATACTTTCAAGCCACAATTCCTGTCCATTTTTACAAGATTAAGAAACTTACGAAACGCGAAATTTCTAATTTAAACTTCAATTTGCAATTTTAAGTGTAGTTCGTCCACGAAGACGATAAGATATTGACGTTGCTTAATCGAAATACGCCGGAAATACTAAAGGAAGTGCGATTTCGATGAGACAAATAAAAATTCTTGGGCCGATAATAATCTATTTGTTTAAAGGAAAATATCTAGCAGGAATGAAATTTTCAAGCTCTTAATTAAAACTCGTGCAAATTAAAAAGTTTGCTTTCGACTTGACACTTCTTTTTAAAACAAAATAATTTTTGTTGTGTCCTAAAAAAACTAGTTTATGTAATAATTTATCAATTGGTTTTCCTTATAAAATATCTAAACTATTAAAAAGCTGTCACAACCAGCTAAAAAACCAAGAAAATTAAATTTCCGTTAGAAATTCTAGAGTATTTCGTCTTGCCTGTAAAGTCAAACCGCTGTTGTTAGCATTCTTACTGCATTCCAAAAATAGTTAATCGATTAAATTATATCCACGAAATTTTGTAAACAAATTCTTGCCCGGAAGCTTGTGCTAAATTGTTTCATAAAATAGTACGTGTAAAACTTAAAATTGATTTTTTTTAAACAGTAAGTAATAATTAAGTCAACTCCACAAATCAATAAATTTTATTTAGTCAAGTTGGGACATGTTTCGGCACCCTTGCGCCAAATAACATTTTGTTATTATCGTTCTTCAAAAATTTTCACGGGCGAGGCTTCAGCTTCACTGACCTCGTCCTTTTACTTTTTTACAGAGGAATAATGTTTAAATCCTATTCCTTTTGTATATTTTTCCATTTGTGAAAATCAGGAAAAATTTTTAACAGTGAACATTTAAATTTTTTAATCTTGTAATTTTTTTATTTTAAAGTGTAACAATTTTCAATGGCTGATGATGATGGCGCAAGAGTGCCGAAACATGTCCCAACTTGACTAAATAAAATTTATCGATTTGTGGAGTTGACTTTAATATTACTTACTGTTTAAAACTATAAAACATCCACTTTGGGAAGAAAATGGATCGAGTTCTACAATTAAAATTGATTATATGATCACAAATAATCACAAATTTTCCGCTGAATTGGATTAATTTTCCAAACAAAATTAAATCAGCCGATATTAAATTTTGTGTTTAATTGCTGTTTAACGTTTGTTATTTTATTAGTATAATTAAGCAAAATCCCGAATTTAAGTCAAATAATTATACTTCAAAGAAAATTCAGATTATCATAAAATTAATAATAATTCAACCTTTAACATTTCCTCGCATGACTGTGTACAGCTCTCAAAGTTAATCTTCCACTATTCATCATTATGTCATGTAAGTGATAAGGTTTACAAGGTGCTTGGTCGTTATAAATGTCAATCCGTTTCAGTGTGAAAATAAAACTGGAAAAGCGGCATGCACGAGTAGATTATCGATAGCTTTACCTCTAAATAAGGCAACACCAACGAAGGTCAACACATTTAATTATCAAAATTCGGCTGTTCAATTTCCAACGTAAGGTTAAAACGATATCATGTCTCTTTGTTGTGATTCACCCCCCAATTGCAAGTAATGTAGTAAAAGCTTTAATAAAATATGTGAGTTTTCGCATTGGAACTTGTGTGCTACGTCAACTGAAGTATCGAGAGCTTTAATTGAAGTTCATAATAAAAAAATAAGCTGTAACCAGACCTTCGAAACTGTCAAATTCACGATTTTAAGACGCATCAAACAAGTTATCCTTTGAAACGTTTGTTTTAGCTCCTTTTATCTTTAATGATACGTCAATATTAGACTCCCCTTTGACAAAACAGAAAAAGAGTGCGTCAAAAACAAGGTAGATAAATATTTTTCGTCTAGTTGATAGCAACTCGAAAAGCTCGAATCGCAAAATCAAAAGCTTATTGGTTCAATAATCGACATTCAGCTCACTTTAGAGACTACGATTGGTAACACTGTATCTATTATACCATAATCTTCATGATAAAATTTGTTTGGTAAGTGTATTATGCTTAGAGTATACATATTAATGATTCAAATATTGATAACTTTGTATAACTAATTATAATTAATTAATATTAAGTTTCGTGTTTCTGTTTAAATGACTTTGTAATAGCTAAAACTCATTTTAATGGTTGTTAGTTCAGTTTACAAAAGCCAAAATTTCTGATTCAATATTCATTCCTGAATTAATTATATTTAGTTCCGTTCAAAATTTTAAATTCATTTTTTCATACAAGCAATTTAGTTTTTCGTGCTTAATTTCCTCCAGACTGGATAATCTATTTATGATAAACTTGTTTAAAGTTGCAAAAGTCAATCAATATTTTATTACTATGTTTTACCTCACAGTTTTAAATCCTCAACGAATACAAATGAGGTATTATTATAAAAAAAATAAACTTTATTGTATGAAAAATATATATCTATGCAATAACAATAAAAATTCAAAAAGGTTTAGCTATAAAACAGTGTTTTGAATTATAATAAATGATTGAATATCCCGGCGCATTCACCAAAATATAATGTAGCTAATTATATGACAGTCATATAAATCAATCAAAATTTATCTGAATATTGGATTTTAATCATTAATTGACATAAAAAAAATTATAAAAAGTAGCAATAATTATTTTATAATTATACTAATTCTTTATCAACAAAATATAGATGTGTATATTGTTTATTAAATTACAAAAAAATTATTTGAAAACTACTTACGTGAAATGGAAGTTTGAAAAATGTGCTTTCCCGAAACTTTTCTCAATGCAAATACAACTCGAGTAAATGTTTCTCGTCGCGTAAAACTGCTGAAAACAAACAGCGTCACATCAACACTTGTCCCGACAACAATATCAACCAAACTCCCGCCAAAGTCCGATAAAATGTGCTTTTATCCCTCCTTCTCTGTAAAGCTCAAGCGCAAGTTCAAAACGCGACAGTGAGAGAAACTCCGGCATCGACGCAACACACCGGATAGTACTTAAGCTTTCCAAGAGATAAAAACGCTTTAGTGCTTTTGTCAGTTTTGTTTCCTCTAAAACATTGATTTGGCATTAAAGGGAAATGGTTTACTAACAATACTTTGGACGGCAAACAAGCAAAGGATTTACGAATGGAAGAGGTCTTCGTAATGCCGGCGAGCCGCAATTAATCACGATTTTTTTCCATATCGGGACGGATTTTGCCTTTTTCCAAGCGCGTTTTTGCTACGTCCTGCCACAAATTTCGTTATCTGAATCGTGTTCTTGCGCTCTCATCATCCGTCTTCTTAAGGATGAAAAATTTAATTCTAATTTATACGAGATGCACTACGAACACATTATTTAAAACCCATTCAATCATTCATCATCGCACTTGAGATCCTCATTTTTCAAAATTTTATTATTCCTATACAAAAACTAAATAAATTGTTTCAACAAAAATAACAAAATTTACACTTGCAGCAATAAATTGTTGAAATTGAATAATAAATTTTAAACATTTTTTACTGCAATGCAATAATATACAGGGTGACCCAAGGGTGCGTGCATACTCAACAACTTTTTTTCTATCGAAGTTATCGAGACGATTTTTTTAAGGATAGATACAACAATGAGGCACATTATAAAAATATTTCTAGTCATATACAGAGTGTCCCAAGTAAGATACACAACTAAGTTCTGTTTTTTTTTAAATGAAAACCCCAATTTTTTATTACATTTTAGGATTCGCTACTAAATTGTCAATATAACGCACCTTAGTTTCTTAGAGTTACCTGCAATAGTTATTGACTTATGCCAATTTATGTGTCAAAATTACATCGTACATAGACCCACAAAAAAATTCATAACTTCAAAATTATTCAAGATAATTTAACCAACTTTTTTCCAGTCGATAAAGCCGTCTTCTGAGATAAAGACAAACTCGGAGTCGATGTTCCATCGCCTACTACGATTTTTTGAAAATGACAAAATACAAATGGCAATAACTCGACTTTTTCAAATACAACAACTCTATATTGTATTGCATCATTGCATGGCATTTTTTATGAGCTTTTTGTCGATATAGGATTTATGGGGTCTACTTTGTAAAATTTATGAGATTTTTTAAAAACAAGTAATGTTGATGGTTTTTTTCTGAAAAAAAAAATCGAGTAGGCCGTTGTCGTTTGACACTTCTATGAAATTCTGAAAAAAATGTGTTTCAATAAAATGAAATTGTAATAGAAACAGGAGTACATCACAATAAAGGAAAGAATTTTAGTAATCTTTACAAGAATAGTAAAGAATGATTAACAGAAAACAATGTAAAAATTTTCTTATTTTGCAAAAATCGTACAAATTTTACTAAGTAGACCCCATAAACCCTACATCGACAAAAAGCTCATAAAAAAAAAGCCATGCAATGATGCAATAAAATATAAAGTGTTGTGTTTAAAAAAATCGAGTTATTGCAATTTGTATTTTGTCGTTTTTAAAAAAACGTAGTAGGCGATGGAATATCGACTCCGAGTACGCCTTTCTCTCAAAAGATGTGCTAAAGCTTAAGGAATCGACTGGAAAAAAATTGGTTAAGTAGTCTTGAAAAGTTTTGGAGTTATGATTTTTTTGTGGGTCTATGCACTATGCAATTTTGGCATACAGTTGGAGACAATACTTTGGTCGTCACTTTTCTGACACTTTAATGTAATTCAAGCTTTAATGTTAAAATGAATGACAATTTCAAATTAATGACAGCTATTATATTTTCCTATCAAAAATATGTAGGTACATACAACTTGTCAACTATGATTGACAGTAGCTAAAAATAAGGTTAACAGTCCTAAAGCATGCTTTACAATTTAATGTCACTCAAGTGACATTGACGACCAAACTATTTTGTCTCCAACTGTACAAATTGGCATAAGTCAAAAACTATTGCAGATAAGTTTAAGAAACCTAGGTGCATTATATTGACCATTTAGTGTCGAATCAAAAAATGTAACAAAAATTTGGGGTTTTTTTAAAAAAAACGGAACTTAGTTGTGTATCTTATTTGGGACAGCCTGTATATAAACAAAAATATTTTTATAATGTGCCTCATTGTTAGACCTATCGTTAAAAAAAAAAACATGTCGATAACTTGGATAGAAAAAAAGTTATAGAGCGTGCACACACGCCGGGTCACCCTGTATGTAATTAATAGATATATAATCAATAAAATATTATGGTGGCTAAAAAAAGCTTTACTCCAGGCCTTACTGTTGTATCTATGTACAGTGCCGGACATGAAATTTTAGACATCAAATTTATGTTAGTTCAAAAAATGTCAATGTAAGCTACGCTTTATTGTCATTATGATTGACGTCTAAAACTAGTATTTGAAAGTTTTAGTTGAAATTAATTTTTGGCGTCGATTTTTCCGAAACAATAATGCCAGCAATACGTGTTTTAATATAAGTTAGATAAATTATTTTTTCTATACAAAAACCGAAAGTGAGATTAGTTGCCTAAGGCCCGTTTTATATTTTTATGTCAGTCGAATGACAAATCGTCTAGAATTCCGAGTCCGCCAGTGTAGTAGAGCAAGTATACTGTCTGTTTTTGATTAAACCAAAAAAACACGACTGCACTAGTGTAAAACGTTTATTTATTCAAATTTTTACCGATATCTATTGTTTCAGCTGTTTCAAATTCATTTTATAGCTGAATAAACAGACACAACGCGTATTTTTGCAAAACATAAGTTAATTATTTCAACACGAGCAATCGATAGCTTATCTAAATGAAGCATTGTGTGCGGCTTGCGAAGTTAATAAGACCATTATTTACCTTAAAGCTAAAATACACAAATCTTGTTATTTCACTATTAAATAAACCTATAGAGATTGCAGTTTCTACGATCAGCAAGAGAAACTTGGCTGTTATTATTGACTGTTGGCTCAATTAATTAACAAACTATATGCTTATCATCATTGTTATTTGCATCTTTTCACTTTCTTACGTTTGTACCTCAGGAAATAACTTTTTAACCTTTAGAACTTGTTACTTTTATTTTGTCTGATAACTTCCAACTGTTGAAAGCAATTACTTAAGAGATAATTGCAATATATTTCCTCTTATTCATTCGTGTTTTGCGTTTCGTGTTCCTCGAAACGCCACTTGACACCACTGGATCCTAGTGGAGGAAAGATTTATAAAAGGAAAGAAAGATAACTCATGAATGAAAAACCCCTCTCTATCAAAGATTTATTTTGAATTATCTCCTTTCAAAAAGCTCATCAAAAACGAGATGAATCTCGTGGATCATGTCGCTACAAGTCATACTTCTGGCGTATTTCGCAAAAGCTCTCGCGTTACAAGCCCTCGCTAGTTTACAAGCAGCATATGACGCAATTACGGGACGATTGTCGCAAGAAGAGGAAGGTTTCAGCTGTTCTAAAGCCCAAGCCAGGAAAGTAGTTACTGCTCCTGAAAGCAGGTCGCCTTGCCCTCCGCAGCGACGCCCCGAGCCTCCTCCAACAACCCTAACATGCGTCTCCTTGTTGAAAATTTCATCGTCGTGTCCTTTGCATAAAATCGTAATATTTTTTGCTAATGCAAGAAAATTCCCGGATTGTTCTTTTTTATTTCCTTCTCCATTGGATCCGATTAGTCTTGTAAATTCCATGACGTTGGGGGTGAGAATTACAGGGGAGGGGTAATCGCGGAGTACATTTGGGTTTATCGAAACGTAGAAAAGACCATCGGCGTCTATCACCAAAGGCTTTTTACGAACTTTGCACATCTCGACCACCTCATCTATGACCTGTAAAGTGAATGATAATATGTTTTCTGCTGTTCGTATTTCCAACTTTTTAATAATGTGACGGGTGAAAGAGAAATCAATCGAGAACGCTTTACGCTTAAGACATTCCATTAAAGTAAGTTTAAAAGTAAAGCACTTAAGTTCGTATTATAAACTTTTTAAAATAATTTGGTAGCAAGGAAAAGCATTTTTTGAACTCGAAATTAAGAACGCCCATCTTTATTATTGTCAAAGAAAAATTAACGCAAAATTCGAGATAATCGCTATAGATCAATAGCTCAACGTGAAGAATATTCTCGTTTGTTTTTAGACTTGTAGGAGAAACGGGAAAAGTAATTCAAAGAGTGAAAAAGGATCTGAATTTAAGTCAGCGGCGAAATCGTCAATAAACTGGGTCACTAGAACACATACAGGGTGTAATTGAATTAAACGTTAATTAAAACATCAAACCTCTCAAATAAATACAAAGCATCAATCAATTTAATTTTTTTTTAATTCTGGAACTTTGTTTACATGCAAAATACGTAATATTTTGATCGTTTAAATCAATACCTACAAATTTAAAGCACTTTTTTTATTAATGTGTCACAGTTAGGTATAATCCCACTTAAAGAGAAATGTCTGTTTATAAACTTTGCCTTTGAAGGTGAAAGGGCACACTAAAGCAACTTTGTCAAAGATAAAATAATAGGTAATTGAAGCAACTTGTAGACATTCTTAAGTGGTTAACTCAACAGGGAGTAATCGCTACAATGTTAGCGTTTCTGTCTAGATTACTAATGATGAAGCGCTTCTAATAAATGTTAAATTTAATAGAATAACAATTCATAATAAGTTCTTTCTATACCTAGTTGCTAACAGTAAATTAAAATAAACTTGTAAACAAAACATTTCGAAAGTTTAAAAATACGTGCAACATTTCAAAAAAAAATTAGACATAATACATAAAGCTCCAAACACATATTTAACCGCTTAAATAGTTTTGCGTAATATTGTTAATTACATAAACAAAAAACTGAACATAATATCTAAGAATTATATATTGTGATTAAATTTTATTTATGATTATTTATGATTATAATTAAGCAGATACCAATACCTAACACAATTAAGTTCAACACGTCGTTATGAATAATCAAAGTTCTAATTTAAGTCTTATCGGTGTTACAAATCCTTAGGGCAACGTTAAACACTTGTGATGTATGTTTTACACACCCTTAATTAGTGTAATAAAATTAGAGATTTTACAGCCCAGATTTTGTCACGCATTGTTCGTGTTGGGCTTTTTAATCCCCACATACATAAATATTGTCAAATAAAAAGACAAACATCTCTACTGAGAAATAAAGCAACCTGAAGCGTAATAAATTCTAATTTTATTTCATTACAAGCGTCCAGAAAAAGAAAAAATTATTATCCCTGTGTATTTGCCTAAATAAAATCAACAATTTACTCACCTACGTGTGCATCGCGTGAAAAGCAGCGGGTGAAAAGGTAATTTTATAATAGTTTAGAATTTGAATATAAAACAGCAAACAGCAAATACACAACGAAATATACAAGAATTAAAAAAAATATCTCACTGTCTTGCAGATATTTTAATTAAATAAAAAAATGTGAAATGTAAAACACCACGTATAACCACGACCATTTCTATACTTTTCCTCGATACCAAATTCTTTCCAATTGGAACAAAAACAAACGAGTAAATACGTAAGATCCGAATATATTTCGAAATTGCAGACGTATAAAAAGTTCAATCTCCTAGGAATCACTATACCTAAAAAATATCTTGCTAAAATGACTTTCCTTTAGAGTGCCCTAAGAAGTTCCATTGCTCAATTCAAAGACCAAAAAAATTCTCTTTCATCCGCCGCTCATCCCAACGTCACATATTATCGGCAGAAATAAATTTCTTTCGACTAAAAAAATCTATTCACTGGTTTTAAAGCAAGAAAACCCTTGCCCTGTCAATTATAATTAGATTTTTCGTGTCTTACAAATAATAAATCTATTCAATTTCTTTCTAGCAATTGATGTGAAAATGATAAAAACCTTGAATGTGGAGGCTTCCCGCCCTAAGCCCGGCCCTATCAGCACCACATGCAGCCGATCCAGCCATGGCTCAATCTGCGAAGCTGCCTCAGGGGCGTCGAGCAAAGGATGGACGATGAGCTCCGGACTGTAGGATTTTATAACAGGTGCTGCTTCCTTAGCACAGAAAACGTGGCTCAAATCAGCCCCGACCTTCAACGAAGTGATTGCAGCAAAATACGGTGCACCTGTGGAATTATTTCGTACCAAAGTTTCTTCGAAACGGAAACTAATTACAGACGCATAACAGAAATTTATTCGTAGAGGGATCTAACTCAGTGATAAATTATTTTTAAAGTTGGCACTTTGGTACGAGCTGTGATGATTTATTCATGGAAATAACAAAAGTTACTTCAAAAATAAATCAATTTCGAAATATTAATACTCAGAGAAGGGATGCTAGATGACGACAGCTTATGAAAAATTCCAGCAAATAAACTGATTTCATCGATTTCAATTTTGAAAATGCAACGACCCGTTTGGAAACATTGCATTATGTCGAGGTTTCATTAATCTGTACTTCCCGGCTCACTTTGTCAAGTTTAATTCGGATCTTTTGCCCAATAATTACATTCGAAATCAGTGAGCTTGCAAAATTCCAGTTAATTTTCCTTTAAATTTGTTAAAAAAAAGATTAAACGGTCTAGAATCATAAGGGTAAAACTGGAAATTCCTTCTGGCATAAAAAATTGGCAATACTGGCAAGTTGATTATATTGGAATAAAATAAATTTGAATTATATGAATAAATTAGCCAAAAGATTTGTTTGAAGAAATTAAATTCTTCATAAATAAATAGAAATTTTTGACGTTTGTAAATTTTGTGTTCAGAGGAACGCTTTATGAGCAGCTTTAATAAATATTTGAGTCGCAAAATGATGAAATAAAATTTTCTTTTGAGAAGCATCAAAGCGTGTCTCTTTCATGTACTTTTTTGACTAAAATATTTAACTCCGGTTGCAAAAATGCAACACCGTATGCAGATTTACGTAACGATAAATGTATTTTAACTCGTTTAAAAAAAGCAGGTCATAAGGACTATCTTACATGTTTTTCAACGAGCCTAATTAAATGAATACATAGTTAGTGAATGATAAAAGCAATAAAAGCGTTGAATTATTGTGAGCTGTTTTCTCGCAATGTCGCTCTCATTGTCTAGAACTACATTAAGGAATAATGGATTGTTAAGCTAAACAAATAGATTTTTTTATGGCTCCATAAACAAAGAAGTCCACATAAATGAATGTCATTTTATTTGTTTAGGTCTTCCATCACTCTGAAACCTACCATAAACGAAAAAGCTATTAAAAGATTTATTACTGTAGTTATTCATCTGCAATTCAATTTTTAACCCACTTGTTACCTATTTTTTTATATTTAAAAACTGAATAAATATTTTTACAATTCAAATTCAAATCGAAATCCAGTAGCATTTCTGTACCATCGATGTGCCATCTATTGGGTGAGAACTAAACTTACCGGTATATTCCAAACTTCCACCAAAAACACCAACCCGACCAGCTTGGCCTTTATGCTTATCCTTGGTCAGAGGTGGAGCTAGCTGTTTAGTTAATTCAATAATGCTCTTTTCGTCCATTTTAACACTGTTTGAGTAATTTCTAACAAGAAAACGGCTGGATTTCAACTTGTAGACACTTTTTACGCAAGTATTGATTATCAAAGCCGGTCTTGATAATGACATTTCATGCCAATGACTTGACACTCACTTATTAAGATTCCAGGAACCTACTTTATCGACATAGTGGTTGCTATTTTACTTCAATTTCTAAATTTTATATTTTAGGAAAATAAAAGAAGTATACATTGTGGATATTTTTATTTAAATATGTATCGGATTTGACAACAATCCTACAAAGAATTCCGCCTATAAAAGGTATCAAATTTAAATAACTCCATGTAATTTCGCAAAATATGGCAACAATTTTATTGTAAAAATAAACGCTAAATATCACAGCAGCGTCAAGGGGAAAACACTGATAAACAATTAGGGTCCTCGAATTCGAATGTGCACCGTAAGGACATGTATACCTACATGGGTTTTTACAAAATTATAAAAATAAAAATCACTTTTTCAGCGTTTAGGAAAAAAGATCCCAAAGAAGGTGTAGGTAAACACACATAATACTTTACATTAAGTACGTCGCTAGAAGCGAACACCGACATTTTCCCAATCGGCTATCATGGTCAAATTGACATTCTCAAACCTCCATTTTTGAGTTTTCGATTGTTCGTCACATTTAGTGACATAGAGGCGACGTTGGCCGAGGTCACAATCCAAACACCTCGGATTGCCACCATGCAAAAACCATTGTTTTTCCTAAAAAAACAAATTTAATTGAAACAAAGGTTTCTTAAAGTGTTACTTACAACATCGTATCTCCAATACTGATTTCCTTGAGATCCATGACAAGGATACAAGACAATATCTGCCTTATCATTAGGATCTGAAACGTCCAAACACAAAGTTTTACCCTTTATTCTTAAATCTTTGTGCCAAGTCAAAGCGAAATTTTGTTCGCCGTTTTTGTTTGTTCCTTTGATACATTCGGCTAAGCCTATAACTTGGTCGCGATCTTTATGACCTGAGTCAACACATAATTCAGGAGCTGCTATATTTCTTATCTGGAATAATTCTCATTGAGGAAAGAAAAATATAAGTAAGGTCATATCTACTTCTCCAATTCCAAAATCTCCCGGCTCAATAGGAGGATACTTCAGAGGTAGATCAAAGGCAACTTTTTCCATAAACCACTTAAATGGTTTACAATGTAACTGCTTTCTTAAGGTTTTTTGTTTTGTCAAATCCCCGGGATCTATATCTCTATAGTGAGGACGACGTTTGTATAAATATTCGGCATATTCGTCCATCCAAACCTCAGCAACTCTTCTATAATTCTAAACCCACCAATCTAGTCAAATTTCACAAACTCACTCACCCTTCCGACAAAATCCCCTTTCCCCGGATTTGGAAAAGGAGCATATTTCCTATAGATATGACCAACTCTTGAACAAGGAGCATCTACCATTAAGCCCCCACACTGCCATATTTTAAAACTCAATTCGTACTGTTCACCCCCCCAAATATCCAAACCTTCGTCATAACCCCCCAACTCCCAGAAGAATTTCCTACTGATTGCAAAAAGACCTCCAGCCATGACTGGACTCCTAACCCACCAATCAGAAATTAAAAAATAAAAAACAACAAACATACTTAAACGGTTCAGTTGGATGTTCCAAATCTTCTGGAAGCAATGGAAGACGTTTGTAGAAAAACTCCCAGTCAAAAGCACCCCTTGCCCCTTCATCTTGTGCACGATATTCAAATGTTTCATACTGGATTACGTCAATGAATGGACAAACGCAAGTCCGGTAATCTTGCGCGATTGGTTCTATAAACGCAACTGTCTCAAAAAATGACGGAAGAAATTGTTAACAAACCTAGAAGAGGCGGTAGCCAATTGATGTTAGCTTCAGTGTGTGAATCCAGGAAGATTAAAACATCAGCTGTTGCCACTTTGGCACCTGCGAGACGGGCCCGTATCAAACCACTTCTTTCCGGCAGGTGAATTGCCCGAACTTTTGTTAAATTAGCGGCGAGGTAATCGTCGAGAGGTTTTTTGCTAAATTCTAGAATGTAGATATTGAAGCGGACCGCAGACTGAACACTCCATTATACCTTTAGTACTACAATCGTCAACTAGGATAACTTCTTTGAGCAAATGTGGGGGTGATCGGTTTACCACACTGGTAGCAGTTCGAAGCAGGGTTGTCCAATGCTCGTTATGGAACGGAACTACGACGCTAACAGTTGGGAGATCTTTGAGATATTTTTTTGATTTACATCTAAAACGTTTATCGGATGAGTCATAAATAAATCACGAGAAAATATACAGATGACTCTTTCATTTATATTTAAGGAAGCGTTTACTACTTTACTAGGCTACTATGACTTGAACAAATAAAAAAATTAAAAAAGGGAACAAACAATTCAATCTATAAATATAAATACGGAAAATTTTGCATACGACTACAATATCATTTTATATCGTTCAAGGTCTAGCAAGTAAAATGCTTCTAAAGGTATACAACTTTCACTAAATTGAAATTGACAAAAAAGCAAATTCCTTCTATCAATAAACAATTGAAGTGAAAGTGTTTTGATCAAACTTGATCTCATTCAGTACTTTAACTATGATTTAATTCATTCAACAAGTAAAAGCAAATAATTTTAAAAGTGGAACAAAACCACTAAATATGCGCATTCAACAAAAACTTGTTATTCTTATAACAATTCCGGCGTGTTAGAATGAAGTTATTATGCAAAGTCACAACCTTGATTTATATAGCATTTTATGGAAATTGTCTTTCCTCTTTTAGTAATTGTGTTCCCGTAATAAAAAAAATATTTTAAGTACCCTGGATGACGTATATCAGGCACAGATCTATCAATTGCAATTTGATCACTTAAGGCAGCATTAAATCCGTTAACTTTGTATAACTTATCATAATTATATGATTCTGCTGCAGAAAGATAAGCAGCTTTGCCTTGTTCACCAGGACCTAAATAAAAAAACAATATTTTATACAATCATACTTATAAAACAATACCTACCTCTCCTCAATGAATCTTTTTTTATGGCATCATAATCATGCCAATCAATCTTTTCATTGCTAATGATCCTCACCTAAAGATAACAAATAAAGGATATTTGAATGAAATAATAAAAGCCACTCACCTCGCGTGGTTCTAAAGGCAAACCTCGTTCATGGCTTTCAAACGTTGATCGAATTTTTAAAATTCGAAATAGCAAAACCGTGAACACAACGGTCGTTCCTGAAAGCAAGAAAAACTTGAACACCGTCTTCAGATTACGTTTCATTTTATCGACGTTGGCATGTTTCTGTGATTAGTTTGCGGATTTGGCACTGATAAGAAAGATAAATGGTTTAAGAATAATGATACTGAAACAGGTACAGGTGAGGTCTAAACGATAACATAACCTCACTCGTGCACGAACTGACGGCAACTGTCAACCGGTTCACCTTCGAAAGTAAACAAAAACAACGGCGAATCGTTCAATTGTTGCAAGTTGCAATTATTGCAACAAAGGAAAAGGAAATAAGAGATGATTACAAGACCACCAACACGTTTCCACGGAATCAAATTGTGTAATGGAGCATTATTTTGCAAAAATTTGCCCCTATTGCTAGACAATGATTATGTACCTACCTATTATCCACCTACAATTGATAAATTTTCTTATCTATTGTGTAATTAATTATTTTAAACAGACATAAATAGTAGTGCTCCAGCCCAAGTCAAATTATATTATCAAATAATTAATAGTTTCCTAATTTATTAATATCTACAACTAACGTGATAAAAAATACCTAGTAAAGGTCTAGGCTTTATTTATTCTACTTAGAAAATCACACATACCAGGTGAATAAAAAGTATGGAACCAAACGTTTTTTGCTTAAACTATTTATTTTTTGAAAAAACTAATTGATGAGTGATAATGTACTATAAAAATGTGATGATTTAACAAGAATAAAATTTTTCGAAATTTGCTTTTGTTTTTGAGTTCTACAAAAAAAATATTTTTTTAAATAGCAACCCACTATAAAATCATTTTTCTCATAAAAGCTATACTCTAAAGATTACAACTACCTGCTTTATATTTAATTTTTTCAAAAAAATGTTTTCACATAAATTGCAATTTTGACAAAAAAAAATCTCATAACTCAAAAACAAAACAAAATTTTGTTCTGAAAATACGATCAGATTTTTTATATTACTTTAATTTATATTAATTATTATTTTCTGGAGGCAAATGATTAAAAATAAAACCGTTTGGTTCCATACTTTATATTCACCCTGTATATCCCAAAAAAATTGGATTGTAATCTTAGTGGTCAACGCATAAATATTTTGTACTCAAATAATCATTTTAACAACAATAGTTATTTATTTATTTGAGTGTAAATCGGACGCATTATTCAATTTCATCCACGAGGTGGAATAAAGCGTCCGATTTACACTCAAACGAATTGAATACATTTTATTCTTTGAATTAGACTCCATGAGGCTTAAACTTGCTTTAAATCTGTTAACAATAATCTGACGTTTCGTATTAAGAAATGCCAAACAGTTGTCAAAACTTCCTTACACGAGAGAAAAACCGTAAATCTTGACAGTGTCGAAGAATAATAGTTATTTATTGTGTTTTTGAGTTTGAGTGTGTTAGACAGCGTTTTATCCACGCAAGAATTATTTTTTTAATTTTCTTAAGTGGATAAAATGCGACTAACACACGACTGCAATATAACGTTTTATCCACAATCCCACAATCACAGGCCCAAATTATTCCAAACTTAATTAAAAATTAAACTGACATTTAAACGTCACGCCAAATGTGCTTTCGGTTAAACAGCTGTTACGCTGTGCGCTGGTTACTAACAGTGGAATAAAGTAACTTTTATTCCACAAGTGGATAAAGTGGTACTTTATACACATCTAAAATGTGGAATAAAGTCTCTTTATAGAGTGATTGTGGATAAAATATACCTATTTATCCACAAACGTCACAAAAGTGACCACATTTATGACTAAATGACAGATAAAAATTTTACTTTTCAGACATGGAGTAAAAACACTGTTTTTACGCCTTGGCGTTTTCACTTTTACTTGACACTTGCTTTGACATTTACCACTGTTGTCTCTTTCTTGTCTCTTTCGCTTTTCAGCATTTTATGGAGAGGTACAAGGAAGATTATCAGCATTCGACATTTTGCACTATAAACTACACCAGTTATTCACCAGTTAAATCAATCAACACTTTCGAAATCTCAACACAAATTCCGAAACTGACGCGTGACGTTTGTTATGATTTTATTGCAAAGCGTCCTGATTATTGAGGTGATTTACTTGATTATTGGTGTGTTGCTCTTTTCTCTCCATCTGAATCGTTTGCAGATAAAATAGTATATGTTATTTGGAGTAAAATTAAGTTTATGTGGCTCAGCTGAATCCATTGGCCTCACTCCGTTCGGAAAAATAAACGTTCAGCTTCGCCACATAAACAATCACTTTTACTCCTAATAACATAATCTACTATTTTTCTTTATTTATTCAACAAATAAATCATAAAAACATTTGCGTTATTTTTTTTTAATGTCAACGTATTAATACATAGGGTACGCATCATGAGAGATAAAATTTCTCAAGGATGTCTAAAACCATTAAATTGCAGGAGATTAGGTTTATCTTTCGTAAAATTATTCCAAAGGATTCAGATTTATCACATAAATTTAGTATCCAATAAAATTACGACAAACGTTTATTTTGTGGTCTCTTAGTTTTAGACTTTAAAACATTTTTTTTTCTTTCCAAATACCTAAAAGACGTGAAGTGTAGTGCGGCTTGACATTCCATTATTTACGTCTTTTAACGAGTTTATTTACACTAAAGTAGACACTTCGTGTTAACAGAGAGTTCTTTATTAAAAATAAATAAACAGAGTTGTTTCTAATGTAGTACAAAATGTACTTACTCGCAATTCCAGAATAAAAGAAAAATAATTTAGGTAATACACAGTGTAGATGATAAATGGAGATATGTACTATGAAGTTCCACTGTCGTACCTACCTACCTACGCTCTATATTTAGTGTAATTTATTTATAGAGTCGTGCATTTAGAATTTAAAAATATTTTATTTTTCATTCATGTCTACATACGAGTATAATCGCAACAGATGTGGAAACGTGTCACGGCTTCACATTACGTTGAACAAAGAAGCTTCGTTGGAAAATAAATTACTTTGTTACTCAATTTTAAACAATTACGAAAAAGAAACAAATATTTTAATGTTATATACTAGATCACATGTGTGATTAATAAAAGCTGCAATTGCAACCGCCAAATACAGAAACGGATGTTTCTTTCATTATTTCCGTTTGTTGAAATTAAATAAAAAATAATCACTTTCAAGGTTGATCGCAAGAGAAAATCACACATATTCTAATGCGGTCGAGCATTGACCGAATTATAATCTTTTTAGGTGTTCCGTTTTTCGCAATTGATAAATCAGCGTAAATTCCAATATCAAAAAATAAAAATATGGTTTTACTTCTTCAAACTTTTGCCAAGCTAAAAATCGTTATACGAAGAAAATATGAATAATAATAAACAGTTCCATCCTCCATTTTGGAGTTCGTAGATGAGATTTTCGATATTTGTGATACAAATCAACTGGGAATAAAAGTATGTTTTCGAAACTTTGGTGAAATTTTGTTATAAAAAGTAATAACGGTTTTTTATTAAAGATTTTCAGGTAACAAATCTCGTGTTATAACAATTTTTTTATTATTTTTCAGCTCCTGTTTAAACCAACAGCAATAAAAATGTGGAAAATGTAAAAAGTTTTGTTATTACGAGATTTATGTTTCAGTGTCGATGTCAATATAAAGTGTCTCATCGATTTATGTCCATGTATCAGCAGTGACAATTCTATTTTTAGTTTTATCTTCTAAATTTATAAAAATTTATTCATACTTTCCGACACATAGTATGTTACATACATGAAAATATGATAACACAATAATAAAATAAACACTAAATTTAGCAAAGTTTATTTTTCCTAATTAGTTCCGGTCACCTCCACCAACTTATAAACTTTTCTTCTAAATATCACAGTGTAAACCACGTGTAAACTAGTAGAGTTACTATCCCAAAGTATCTGAACTTCGCAACGAATTAAATTTTAATACCTACCCAAAACCTGAGAGTACCTTGAATTTCTCAGAGAAGCACACTTGCATAGTATATGAGCTTATCTTTCGTGCATATTATGCAGTAAGAGGATTATTCTTCGTGAATTGTATTTTAATTAAAACCGAATTACGAAACTTGTAGTAGTTTTTTTAGTAATCACTTATTCTTTTCTGTTGGACAGTCAGAGGGATAGGTCTAAACCCGTTTAGCCTCAAATGCGTAAAACTTGATGCATTTGCGATCCCTTTAATTACCCTATTGTCTATTATCAGTGTAGGCGCTGAATTCATTTGTAATTGAAATTTTTACTAAAATTTATTTGGCTCACATTGTATTATTTACAATTGTTCAACTCGAACAATCACATTGTTGTGTACTTAGAACCTATTGTATTGGAAGAACACTTATGTATCACCTTTCGTATAGATTATAGACTCGAATGTTTCCTTTCACCTTCCTATTTTCGATCAATATACCCCACTTACAAAAGGCCAGCCATTCATCTCAATTGTAATTTGTAATAGCAAAGACCTCAAAATTTCGACTTTGTTCAGAATAACATGACCACTGCAGCAATGTTTTTGTCAAGGCTCCATAAAATTATTTAATTACGATCATTATTGACTTAAATTTGCTTGGCCACGCAAATGTCACAAACAAATTCGATTTAGCTGCAGTAAAGCTATAAAGTTGTGAATTCATAAATAACATCTTCCTCTCATTTAATTCCTTTTCAGCGACGATTTTAAATTCATTAAAAGATATTTTGAATCACTTTGTTCTCTCCTATGATGGCATAATAAAAATACGCATTGGTAAATTCAATGAAACAGCTTGAAAGCAAGATGTTTGTCAAAATTCTCAATTGGTGTCGTTGTTTATAGGTAATAAGAATACAAAAAAATGTCAAACAAAATTATTTAAATGCACTTAAAGTTAGTTTTCTTCTGCTAAACTGAAAATATGTTGTGGATATCGCATTATTTATTAAATTTAATTTTCCATGTTTATCGGGAAATCCTAAAATATGCGATTAAATGTAAATTGGCGTTTTATGTAGGAATTGCTTTGAGAAAAAGACACTCAGCTTTGCTATAAATCTCAATATCGATTGTTTTATCGATCAAGCGTAGGTAAAAAGTGAAAATTTTGGAACGCTTGCGCTTACTAGTTAGGCGCCGCAGTGCTTTAAAAAGTTGGTAAGCGTCACGACGCAAAGCGTCAGTTAGCGTCGGTGGTCTAGCGAGCCAACAGCATCGCGTAAAGTCTTATCTTACAAATACGACGTGACACAACTTTTCTAACATCGGTTATCACGTGGTAAGCTTTAAATAGTTTTTTTCTGACAACAGAAGCAGCGAGCTTTTGATGAATTTTTTTTAGGTTAATAACTTTTTTCCAACTTCTTTCTAAATATAATAAAATTGACCCTAATATGAAAATCTAACCGGATCAATTCTCTCGGTTTTAAAAATATCGTACAATCAGCTGATCACTTGGTATAAATTTAGAAATACCCGCCCAATTTTCTAGTGGACACTGCATCTTGTCTTAGGTTGAGTAATAACTCGCACCTGAAATTTGTTAGCCGTAAGGCCAATATTGATTTCACCAATAAATATTGGTGGAACATTCGTCAGTTTTTTGTTTACGTTAGTTTTTTAGGTGGGTGTTAATAATTAAAAGCTCGATATTGTTTTATATCAGCTTTTGACGCTATAACATATTTTTTACAATAAAGCTGTAGACAAAAGCTTGTCTATATTAAGCATTCATTGGCAGAACATCGATTTTGGCTAAGACGAATTCCTAAACGATGTCTTTACGATTTTTCTTTATTCTATGTAAAATTATTAAAAATTAAAAAGAAAAAGAACTGTCCTTTAATTGAAGAAGTTCGAATAAATAGATGAAAAGCTTTTTTCTGCAATCGATCAAATTTAACTCAAACAAAACAAAATGGGTTGTGTATAGTAAAAGCTTTCTTATAAAATGTCTTATATCGTAAAAAAAAATCAATTCCGAGGCAAACTCCATTTTTGTAATTTTAAATTTAAAAGAAATGTGTAGGTATGTAATACTTAATTTATTTGTCGTAATTTTTACCAAGCTTAAAGAGTAATTTTGCTTATTTTCAAGCAGCGGTGTTAGAAAAATAACTGAAATAAATTGTAGTACGTACAAACCATTTGCAAAAATTATCCCACATATAATGAAATTTTTGCCTAAAACGTTTCCAGCTGTCCTTGGAAAAGATAAATGTGATGAATATTTTTACAGGACTGCTTATCGACAAGGTATAAATTTATAAAAGCGAATTTTTGTAATATAAATATCTATGTAAGCTGTTAGGAAATATGTTTACCATCAAAGCTTGGACCACTTTAAGAAAGGGTCAAGGTCAAGTTTGTAACAATTTTTTGCCAAATAATGTATTACAACTGGCAACCCAGTTGTTACATTTTTGCAGCGCTTATAAACCGATCGTTTATTGCGAATATTAAACTCTCGCACATTTGAACCGGTGCATAATTCCATTCCCGAATTAATTTTTGCCAACGGAATCGAAACATCTATTTTGATAAACGCGTTTCAGACGCACTCTCCATATAAACTCTCAATTTTGTATTCCACCAAAATAACTTTCCCCCTATCAAATCGCACTTTGTCTTTAAAAATAAATAATGTAAATTTCCGTGTTTTAACGTGAGTTTTATGACACGCCTAAATTTCACTTAAATAAATTATCTCTGCCTTTGAAGCAGGCATACATACAGATGGATTGCGATAGAAGAGACTCATTATGTGGATGGATAGGCTTGAATCAGGGGCGTCACTAGGCCTTTTCAAAACCATGAGGCCCCTCTTAGACTTTGTTACAGAATAAACGCATTGTGCTATTATCCGATTACAAAATTTTCCACACCCACGGAGTGTTTTTAGCACATCCTGTTAACATTGAGATAGAATTGTATTTAATTGACTTTGAAATTGAATAAAACTCCACATTTTTTTTTAATTGAGCCGGTATCAAAAAGAATTTCTCTCAAAAATGGCTTTGAACCAAACAAGTTGCTATTTCGACAATAACTAGACGATATATTTCAGTGTTGACAAATCCGTATTTTATGAGTCCAACCTAAAAAGCAATATAATACAACAAATCACATATTTGTAATATGGCCATATTATATACAACATTTTTGTGAGCACTCTTATTTCAACAAAGTTACAACTCTCAAAAGATAGTAAGTTGCTCACCCATCAGGAAGCACGTTTCTATCCAGACACAAAGGATTACCAAAGTCCTTTTAGCATGGATTTACATAAAAATTTGGTCTTAACATATTTAAAATTATGTCAAGCATAAAAATTATTTGACTTCGGTTTTATAGTTTTTCTCAATGCAGGTGTTTTCTGCTTGAATATCTAAACAATTCAGCTATTAATATTTACTTACTAAATAATTCATAAATCTATATAACAAGCTAAATTAATCCATTAAATAGACACCGTTTAGTCGCAACACACGTATACACAGTCTCCTATTAAATCTAAAAACCATAATTACATTAAATGAAATTTATTCCAAAACTGCATTCCCTTCGTATACGAAAACAGCTAAATGTATGTTTGTATCTGAACGACGAATTCAATTTTCGAAAGTTAAATGGATACAGTGCTGACAACTTGAGAACAAATAATCAAATATAGCTAAATTGCAAAACGTAAACAAATAATGTAGTTTTTACGATGAAATGGCAAAATGGTGGATTATTTGAGATAGCGTCTACAATTTGAATATTTGATTCAATTTATTCTCCTGGAGTTGGCGTTTGGTAAAAAGGGATCTTCGTATAACGTCCCAATTCACGCAAGAAGGATTTTTTTTTTATAAAAAGAAATCAACCTCAGCGAACGCTACAACTTTTAAGCGTCGAAAGTTGTCAGGTGTAACGGATTTTTTCAATAGGGGACTTTAAATATGTCACTGCTTTTAGGTGAAATTAAATAAATAATGTGACAAAGTTTTTGAATTTTTCTGGTACTAAAACAGAGGCTTGTCTGTTCACACTCTGAAATTAGATATTTATTTCTGCCTGGGTTGAATAATAATCTTACTCATCACTAGAAAGACAAGTTAATTGTTTTATTTATAAAATGTTTCGATTTCTTATTAACAGCTTTCTATAAAGCTGTCAATCATAAATAAATATTAATTTTTCCTGATAATAATTTTATTTGTCCGTAATTATAGATTCAATATCTAACACTATTTGCTGTGCAAATATTATATTGCGTTTGGCATAATTGTGAGCTTTGAGCGAAATAATTTTTGGTGTGGCATAATCAGGAAGTTGCTACCAATTTAAACATGAGCTGAATTTGGAATAACAAATATTTGTTTTTGTGCTTTCGCGGAATAAGCGAATCATAAAATACTTTTAGATTTTTTTATGTAACAACAACTGAGTACCGAATAAACAAATCACCAATCTAAAAATAAAAGCATTGATAAAGTTGAAGCCAATTAGTTGTTTCATTCACATTTTGCTTATAAGCGTTATTCAAATATTCGTAGAGAAAAATCTGCGGTTTCAACATTTTATTGAACTTTTCAGTCGGAAAGCACAAAATAAATGAGCTTTGAATTTTCCAAGAGCAAACTTTTTATCTTTAATTAGTTTCAGAACACGATAAGTTATTTATAACTCATCTATTTGGGATTTTATCAAAAACGAAACCAGTACAATTTACAAAAACACGATTAAACCCGTCACACCAAACTTTTATTTAAAACACAACGCGTTTCTACTACAAAGTGGTCATCCTCAGGTGAGAATAAAACAAATTTTTTGGGGCTCTGCTGAGTTAAAGACTAATTTCTAACATAATTTGAATTTAAAAAAAACTAACTATGATTTCCGTCCAAAAAAAATTGTTAGTTTTATTCCCACCTGAGGATGACCACTTTGTGGTTGAAACGCGTTGTGTTTTAAATAAAAGTTTGGTGTGACGGGTTTAATCGTGTTTTTATTATTCATCGTTCCATACGAAGAGGATCCAAGAAGAAGTAGTACAATTTCAGAAATATCTCAAACAAATCTATGAGAGAATTCGGATGAGATTATTATTACATGAACGAATGCAGTATGTACGTCTATAAATTAGAGTAATATTAAAATTTTGATGAGTTTGCAAGTATGGGTCGTTTCACCTTACTTTAGCACAATTTTAATCACTTGCATTCTCTCTAGGTTATATCATATATTTGAAATGATTTATAATCCATCGAGATTCGACCATTTTTGGCAACCTATTTCTGGATCCACTTATCATAAATTACTGGACCACGAAAACACTTGTGACCAAACCTGTGATTTGTTGGAGTTGCTAACGCACGTTCTCAACCCTTATCCTACTTCTAATCGACTTTTTAACATTGTAAAGAGCCAATAAAGAGATAAAGGGCGCTAGAACTACTCTAAATTACTGTGACGACACCGAAGGGCAAGGTCTATTTTGTTAGGAGTGGTTGGGTGAATGACAAGACGAGTATGTTGTCTTTAGTGAAGAGAACCATTCAGGAGTCTAATAAATATTGTTTTACAGAACTGTTTTCATGAACGTGATCCATTAAGTACAGACACATTTAGAAAACACACGAGTTCAAAGCTCAATCCCAACTTGAATAAATCCAGTATAATTAGATTTGTTCGCTTGAATTAGAAAAGTCGACAAGAATTATTTTGTCTAGAATCTAGGACGTGTTTAGAAATGTTGAATTAAACTTCATTTTCCACTATGTGCTCTTGAATATTGCCCAAAAAACAGGTTTCTGAAAATGCTAATCAAGTAATCACCCTTCCGACTTTTTTTATAACTTCGATTAGCTCTCTCTTCAGAGCAAAAATAAATTGCACATATGTAGCGTTAAATTAAAAAAATACTTTTAGTGATTGATTCAGCGACTCTGAACTGAAAATACCAAGGATTAATTCCCGCGTGACTTGCACATGCTACCAGTAAATGTTAGGTTCCATTTAAGCAGTGCCGACTCGTTTTTTGATAAAAAATTGCTTCAAGTCATATTTTTTTTGTTAAATCTTGGCACACAAGTGTGTTGTTATCGTCTTTCCGCCTCATAATTATATATTATTAAAATGCACCCGATATTAATTCTAAATACACAATTTAACTTTTTGACAATGTGATTATAGAAGGTCTATTTCTTATTAGTCGTAAAAAAATGAGGAAGTAATAAAAACTGTAATATTAATATGATTGTGGGTTCCATAAAATTGAAATTCTTACAGACC